AAGAGTGTCTGCATGAAAGCACTGAGAATTAAAGGCCCTGGTTTCTACTGTTACAGTGTTCTGGTCCTAAAAGTGAATCTGTGCAAGCTGTTATGAATACATAGAAACCCACTAGCCTTGATAGGCTTCACCTTCTTGCAGGGTCCGTTTGCGGAGGCTAAAGTTGCTGTACTCTTAAGTTTAACATGCTAAATTTCCAGTTCTCTTCTGTGGATTAGTTTCACACAGACATGAATTACCGTACATGTTAGCAAAACAAACCCTTTAACAAGAGGAAACACGGATACATAGTTTAATGGCACAATGTTTTGATTTTAGAGGCCTCAATTAGAGAATTAACTGCTTGTAGGTCATGCAACTGCAAAGCAAAGACTATACATTTTCAGGAATAAGATTTTGCAGTCTGTGAGGTGAGGTGAAGCTCATTCAGAGCACAGGAATAAAATATTGATTTTGTCTCAAGAAAGTCAGCAACCTAGAGACCCAATCAAGGAGAAACAAAAATTAAATTCCAAAATTGATTGGTTGTACTGACCAAGATGACTTTGTTACTTAGATGTTAATAAATCAAAGGGAAAAGATTGTTAGGGCAAGCAGTGGGTAACAAACAGGCTCATAAAATAATAATTAAGAATTGTGAGTGTTATTGTTTTACATTCATCATGAGCAAATATTTTACTTTTTGGCGTTAGTAGCAGTAAAAAGCACTGTCATCAAAACCAACAAATTGTGAGAGAGGACAGAGGCAACACGTAGTAGAATCTTGGCTTGTCTAGAAGGGGCCGTGGCAAGCAGGGCAGTGATAGTCCAATCTTTGATTTGAAGCCAATCAGCCTCTCCAAACAAATATTTTGGTATTCCCTGTTACTTACGGGTGCAATCTCACAGCCATTAATCACATCAGCAGTCCCACTGATGGGAAGGAAATCACTTGGATGGTTAAGACAATCAATATAATGAATGACTTGGAGGATCTAATGCCTCGGTCTTAACCCTGCCTCAAATGATTTCAGTACAATTCTCCAGAGATATTGTAGATCTGATGATGTAGAGCTTGTTACCAGATCAGAACCTTGGATTGTGAGCCTCTTAACTAACATACACACTTACTGTGGGGAGATGCAGTATTCTAAAATGACCAAGAAGAACAACTCATTGAGATTTATGTTCCTAAATCATGTGAGAGGCCCAGTCGCTCTAAATGTAATCATAATAAGTAATGTGGTACCCGTTCCATGAATAAGTACTGTTTTGGGAAGGAAGGGATTGCCGCATTCTTAGTAATGTGATTTCTAACCAATTTGCCTGAATTTTTTAATATCTATTCATTTGTATAAGGAAGGATAACCACATTCTAGCTGTATCTCAAAGGGTTCCAAATCTAAGACATGACTGAATTCACGATGTTACAATTTTCAGTTAGTTCTGAGGTTATTTCTGCTACAAATTAGAAGGATTAAATTTGTGCAGTTTAAAAATAAACACTCCTGAGCCTTTTACAAATTATTGTATTTGATTGGTGCACCCAATATTATTTGAAGTAATGATGCTCCTTCATCATAAAATGAAGTATCAGGATCTCGTCATGCTGGCAAAACTCAGCAGTGGTAAGCTAATATGAGCTCTTATTAGCATGGTGCAATACAAGCAAAAATTAACAGTCCTAAGCAGGAAGGCAATTGAGACATTTTAAAAACAGGGTGCTTTTCTCTCTTTTAAAACTTGCACTGCTTAGTTAACTAACCGCCCTTTTCACCTCCTAAAACAAATATGAATTTTGGTAGCATTTGTTTCTAATTCAGAATGGAATGATCTTTTACTCAAACTGAAATCTCTGTATCTGGTTCTGTTGTGGAGTCCGAAGTGTTTCCAAAACCCTGAGGAAGAGCTATGGCTGAATTCTATTTTCAAAATACTGAATATCATCACCTGGGTGCCCAGCAAAAGGAGAGGAGGGGACAGGAAGTTTTTTTCTGCATTTAGATAAGGTCTATAGTTTCTAACATCACTGATTTAATTATTTCTCATACTGGATTTAGATGAGTAGCATATACAGGGAACTGAAGCTTTTCATGTTGCAATGAACAGCCTTTCACTTTCTTTCTTTGTCTGTTCCTAGCTACGCTGTGACAGTACAGGAATCTTACGCTCATCCTTTTGATCAGATCTATTATACAAGATGTACTGACATACTGAACTGGTTCAAGTGCACTAGACATAGGTAAGAACTGATCCCCAGACATTTTAATTTTACTTGGCCTTTTCATCTCCTCATATAACTTTTCTTTTTAAAAAGCTTTTGTGGTGCTCTAATACAGGTATGTAAGGAAAGATATGTTTTACTATAATTACTGCTTTGGTGTTGTAGGCCATCATCTGAGGTAGAGATTTTTGCATGAAATTTACGTGAGATGAACGATAGCCAGTCTTTTAAGGGGCCATTCAGGTGTATGCACCCTTGCCGTTCCCCGCTACCACGTGGTTGGAAGTGTCTATTACGTGACCAAACTCCAGCTATCCTTGCCGAGTGATCAGTGCATTCCAGATTTATGACAGGAAGTATATGCAAAATAACTGAAGAATTAGCCACACACTTGTCACATCACTTTGATGTGATTTGGTCACATGATTGGTCACTGTGATTTGGTCTCATGATGGCACCTTTGCATTTTGAATGCATGTTGTCCATGGCCTCAGAACCAGGCTTCTCCAAGGAAAAAGTGTGTTAGGAGGCAGACTAGCGGCATAATCTATGTTATGCTCAGCCCCCTTTCTTTCTTTGAGAAAGAGGGCAGCGCATGGTTTAATTGTTTGGTGAGCTTGTTCTCCATGGAGCCATGTGAAACAATTTAGCCATTGCTTGGAAGATACAAATGCATAAATTATGTTATAGCAAGGTCTCCCTTTCTCTTTAGCCCACTTTTGATACTTGGGATCAATCAGGTTAGTGATAATTGGAAATGGATTCAAATTTGAAATACTGCATCCAAATCTGTATTGAAAATTAAACAGAAAAAGGATGGGTCCGTTCCTAGTACTGAATGAAAGTTGATACTACACAGCGAATTTTTCTTGGGCTGCAAGATAGCAGCTGTTGTGCTCAGCCTGATTTTGAGTAGAAAAGTATTCTAATATCTGCTAACATTTGCAATCTTTCGGGTGTTAGTTAGCTACTTGGTACCTTAATTTTCCATGGATTCCAGTAGGAAAGAGGTTGTTCAGCACCATACCAATCCAGCTGTGTGTTTTTAGTTTTCTAGCTTCAGTGTTACAAAGTATGGAACTGAACACAGATACAGAGCTTTCTGGACTATTGTATTGGTTGGAATGCAGCAGGGTAGATTGGATCAATTTATTTAACATGAGTGACAATAGATTTCATTCATTTCATGTAATTTCGAATAAATTAACACCAGTTAAGCTGTTTTGAAGTGTTTGCCTTTAAATATTCTCTGTTAAATATTCACTTTCTACTCTGGTATCATTGCTAATGCTATGAATAATCTCAAAATACTACAGAAGGCTTAACACTTCTAAAAAATTTTTGTGTTGCAGGAGAGAAACGTGCTTTAAGTACTAAATTGAGACTATAATGTCATTTTGCAAGGGACTAATGCCTTGGAAGTGTTACCGAGTAGAAAGAAATCACCTTGGGGTTAATTTCAAGTGTGGTAAATCAAGAGCAGTTTCCATTGTGGTAATTTCTGGGGTAGCGTGCTGACGTGGTAGCGTCCGTAGGAGATTCTGTTGATCGCATTGCTGATAGGCAGAAATGAACTGTCTTTATTCTTGAAAAAACTATTTGCCCATGCTTAAGGACTGGGGCAGTATTTGAGATAGCAGTCCTAGGAAGGGCTGTGGTGATTGACTGTCCTGAATACTGTGTTTATAGTAGAAGGTATATTTCAAGTTTCCAAACAAGTATTGACTTTTTTTATTGTGGCTTTTCATACCAAAAGCTTTTATACATTTTAAAATAATTATTGAATGCTATCCTTGCTATAACTTAACACAAATATAATTCCAGCAGTAGGCATTGATTTTCAATATTGTCAAATGGCTTTCTGTCTTGCAATTTAGAATAAGTTATAAAACAGCATATCGAAGAGGACTAAGAACTATGTATCGGCGAAGATCTCAGTGCTGCCCTGGATATTATGAAAGTGGAGACTACTGTATACGTATGTACAAAGCTTTGATTCAGATATGACAATTAAAAGTAGTTATTTGGAGGAGATGTAAAGAAATTAAAGATGCATTACAATAGTAATGTTAAGGGCTGATTTTCAGAGCTGCTCAGAGCCTCTAGGTCCCACTGAATTCAGTCAGAACATTTCATCTCTATGCCTTTCAAGCACATCAGTAAAGTTTCAATGAAATAGCTGGGGAGAGCGTTTCTTGAATCAGACCTTACCTTGAGGAGTAATTATCAAAGTATGCACAAATGTTAAAGAACTGGGGAAACTGAGAAGACTCTCAGGACTGAACTATTCTGTAGCTTAGGAAGAAGCATAAAGTTTCTGCCTCTTAGCCTTGAAAGTGTCATTACTTTTTAAGCTTATTTTATTTTATTTCGGGTAAGAATGGCTTAAATCTCACTATGTTTCGTATGGCTCCTATCAATAATTTTGCTCTTTTTAAAGCTTCACAAAATGTCAGAAGAGCTGTGTTCTAATTGCACTGTGTAAGGGAATAAAAAGCTTTGGAGTGTGTTAGGGCTACAAAAAACAAAATGGAACGTTCGGCAAAACCTAAGAGCTTTGTTAATTGAAAATGTCCTGTACTCCAACATCAAGTTTTTTCAGTATTGCAGTTTTCTAAATTTTCTGAGTCAGGATGAATTTACTACGCTATGCTCGAAAGGAAAATAAAAGCTGGGAATCTCTTGTCTACGTCTTATTAGAGTGGGATTATGATATAAGCAAAACAGTTTCTGATCAGCATCAGGATCCAAATTTTATTGACAGGTTTAGAATGCCATAGAATAATTTAAATGTGAAAATGATACAATTATCCAGCTAACTTTAAATGTCTTGACGCAGTGCTTTAAGGCTGTGTCTATCTACCTCTGTTAGTGCTTGTATTTGAGTACTTATATTGGACTTGTATTGTAGTAGTTGAGCATCTTGAAAACATGAATAAACCCTAATCTCATTTTAAATGCCCTTTGAGCCACAGAGTTACTGTAAAGAGGCTTTGGAGTATGCAAAGTTGGCCATCCCTTTGAGATGAGGGATTAAAATTAGCCTTAATTCACAGAGAGAGGGATAATTTGATCTTTCGAAGTGCACTGTGTGACTCAAATCCAGAAAAACATTTGACAGAACCCCTTTTCTTCACTGAAATCATCCCTATGCTGAAGTATGCACTTAGCTTTAAATTTCTGAAGTGTCAACATCGCTTCAGTGGCTGTTGCACATAATATTATTACCAGCTTGAACTTTGTGGCTCAAAATCCGGCATAGAACATACTTATTTTCACTTTGCTCCCTGCAAAGTATTTATTTTTTTTTTTTTTTAATTGCCATACTGGTAGCAACAACAGGAGAATTTTGCAGACTCTCTGATTCTTTGAGAAGGTAGAAGTTCTTGCTGCACCCAGGAATTTTTTTTTATTTTAGCATTTCCTGCCACGTTTTGTCTTTATATTATGGAGAAAGAACAGTATACACCACACACCAAAGGTTTGCTAATGCAGAACAGTCAGCATGTATCTGATCAGAAAAGGAGTTTCATGTTTGACACAGTGCAAATGATACTTATTCTCTCTGTGGGTTACATGTGCAAGAGTCAGATTCTTATATTTCATTATCTGCATGGTCATGAATGCAAAGTATATGCCTCAGGAACATTTTCCATGTATCCTCATTCCTTGGAGGTCTGAGCAGCAAGTGCACCCAAGAGCAAAATGATGTAAAGTAAGAAGTTCTCCATCATGATTGATAGTAGTGTACTTGGTCTTATTGTTTTGGTACCACAAGTAGCCTCATTCTTTCACAGCAAAGCAAACAAATAAAGAAACAAACCTTTGACCCAGCAACCAGGGTTGTTGGTTGTTGTGCAGCCAACAGTTTGGAGGCACAATGGTATTTAGCTAATGCGATCCCTCCTTTTCCCATCTCATCTCTTCTATGTGTAACACATCAAGCCCTGGTCCCATTACCTCTGTATTTTTTTCAAGATACATTCCTTCTCTAACAAGCAATTTCTCCCCTTACTCACTGGCGGCTGCAAAGAATGATTTCAATTTTCATTCCTTGTGGCCCCTCCCTGCCTCTATCTCTTT